CTGTTTCTTGAGCTGTGGGTCCAGAATGCAGCAGGATTTTCAATTGAGGGCACACCTTTTTTGTCTTATGTGTTGCTATTTAAAATTGCCTAATAAGTACTCTGAATGCGTTTAGTATATGAATCCTCCCTTGCTTCTGGCTCCTTATGACTTTAAGGTTATAGGATTAGGCAGTGTTAATAATATTACCCTGTCCATCTACAAAGATGACCATCAGGATCTAAGTTTTAATTTTTTTTTTTAAGGAGTCATAGTTTATGTTGTAATAGTCCCACACTTGTCTAGTCCTCCTGATGACTAATAACCCTCAGCTGAGGTGTAGGTTGATGCAAATTGTTCATTCAGTGGATTACATGAGATAAATGACCATTGTGGGACTCAGTTCCACTATGTCAGCATCTTTGGACTGGCATAGCACCAAGGGATGTAAATGCCTTTGCTTCTGTTGAGGCATTCATCTCCAGTAGTCTGTTCCTTTTCAGTCTCACCTTGACCAGATTGTCCACTTGAGTGGCCTGATTAAGATTTCTTCTTGATTTGGCCCTTTGTGTCATGTCACAATGGGCTGAAACAGAAAAAATATGTCTTTCTCTTCTTTCGAACTCCATGACAGTGACTAGTGTATTCTTTGAGTGAATTGGCCCTTTAGCCATGTGATCGAGAGACTTAAGTATTGCCTGGCCTTCTTGTAGTAAACTTGGTATTAGAAATGCTAAATAAAACCTTGTTGTATCTAGGACACATAGAAGAACTTACCCTGTTTTGGGTTCTTGTACTGTAGTAGCACCTGTAGATACAACCAACTTGAATAGAGCTTTCTGGGCAGTTCTTGAGTAAGGAAGGAGATACGGAGTAGAGCCTGATACACAATTACTGAATTCCAACTTCAAAGGGAATCTAATAGCCAGCAAGCAAATACCTAAAGTGAACAGCTTGGACCACGCAAGTAATAAACTCCATACCAAAGAGTAGTACCTGTATCTGAAAGGAATGGCAAGATGATGGTGAGATGTATCATTATCTCATACACACACAAACATACACGCGTACATGGCCCAGGTTAAAGATTTTGTGCTTGACTTTATATGCTGATATGGGGCATAAAATCTTTTATCTGATGGGTTATTACGCTTTCTACTATTCATCCTCATTTCAATGGTTTATTATAACTGAAGTATGGAAATGCCCTGTAGGCTGAAATTTCATCCACCAGTTTGGAGACTGGCAGCTCTTTTCTAATTTTGAAAGGGGGTGGATGGGTGGGAGGGGAGTGGAACAGAGCGAGAAGCCATCGACTCCTACATTGGCCACTAATTGTGTTTGGGGAAGGAATCCGCAAATCTAAGTGAACTGAATTCTTGGAGCTGAGCTGACCTTTTTATCTGGGCTACAGTGGGTTTGCTTCTTAAATTTCAGGGGCTTTTGGACTAACTCTAAAAAGTGGGCAGCCTAGAAAGCCAGTTGATAGCACTTTATTGGAGTGGTGGGTAAGTAGTTTTGCATTGCCTTAGATGACTTAAAAGTTAATCTGATTTTGCTACTGTTTTGGTCTATGTGCTGTGGTAAG